TGTAAGCGCTGCCGAGAGGGATGCTTCTTATAAAGCCAGGCTGGCCGAATCTCATGCAGGCTTGTTAATTGGATTAATTTGTTAACCGCTGCTGCTTCCTTACTTGAGCTATAGAGAAAGTCAAGCTGAATTGTGATGAAACTGAGACTTGAGTTTTTTTGGGGCGGTTTTTCTCTGAATATTTTCCAGTCTTTTTGAATGGTAGATTTGTATTTTCTTTTAAATTCATTGATAATGTTTTCCAGGAGGAAATTTGGAATGAGAATGGGACGGAACAGGGGAAGAGATGGGGAAAAAAGTGATAGTGAGCTTTGTTCCTCAAATTTCCTGAAAATTAAAAAGTTACTCTTTGTTTTGCAGGTGCAGCAATTGACCACGCTAAGCATGCGGCGGGAGAAGCGGGTTCGGCAATCGGTAATAAACTTGAAGAGGCAAAAAATGTTGCAGGTAATGCTGTAGTAAATTTTCCACAAAAATTAGAAAAACTGCTTCACAAAAAAGTATATCCTAGAAAAAGTGCCCCTTTCGGGAAAATAAAATCCTCCAGAAAAAACCGAATTTCTTTTCAAAAAAAGGCGATGATACGAGGATTTTTGACTCGGAAAATCTTTCCAAAGAAACGACGGTGAACATTATCATCTTGAAAAAATAAAAAAAAAATTCCGTCGAAGAAAAACCAAATATCCTCGCAGTGAAATGAGAACAAGTAAAATTCCCCTAAAAATGGTGCAAAACCTTATGGGAAATCGAGTACCCCTTCTTTTTTTCTCCCTGCTTCGCCCCCCCCCCCCTCTCCGCCCTCCCCTCCTTCTAAAAGAGCGAGGAGATTCAGGGGAATTCAAACCGAATATCATGTCAGACAAACAAGGATTTGAGATCTAAGTAAATAGTGGATGACCTCATTATTTGATCGGTTCAGGTGAAAAAGCAGAAAGCATCAAAAGTGACGTAAAAGAAGGCGCACATGATTTTGCGAGCGAATCTGAAAGGAAAGCTGAAAAGATCAAGTCTGGCGCTGGTAAGCGTAGATTTCGAATTTCCAGCATAATTTCTGAGGTGAATTATCCAAACCGGGGCCCTGGTCTCCGGATAGGATATTTTTCCAGTTTTTTTTGAAGCTATCAGTCTTTTTTCAGTGGATGCGGCTCGAGGTGCAAAGGAAGGTGTGGAGTATGCTGGCCAGGCAGTTGCCGACACAGCTGGTCATGTTAAAGACGCTGCTGGTACTCTTCCATTTTTTATAGCGTAGTTCATGACAGATGGAACTTCCTGACCCTTGCTTGTAATAACCTTTTGTAGTGGACACAGCGGTGGGAGTGAAAGAAGGCGTGGAACATGCTGGAGAAGCTGTCGCAGATACAGCCAAAGGAGCAGTCGATGCAGCTGGTTTGTTTAACGAATTTCTATTTTGCATGGAATTGGATTCATTTTCTTTTTTTTTGGATTGCCCGAGATTATCGAATCGAAATTTATGTTTTTTCTCAAGTTTGTTAGTGGCTTGTATCGTCCTCTTCCTTTATATCATTGTTAATATTGCTATTGATTTCGTCATTACTGTTTTTATTATTATTATTATCATTATTACTATTATTATTATTATTATTACTATTATTATTACTATTATTATTATTGTTATTATTTTGGTTAATGTTGAAGTGTTAGTTGTTAATATTAATTCATTATAATTGCTGCTTAATTTCTTCAATTTTATATGATTAAAACAATGATGATCACTATTGTTATCATAATTATTATTGTTATCAGTAATAGTACTGTCGTTATTACTGTTATTTTCACTATTATTGTTGTTTACTAGTATGGGAGGGCAAGAGACAAGAAAAAATAGAGGAGATCCGGAGCATGCATGCGTTTGCGTATGTTCTGTTCAGGTTTTTTGGAGATAGCTGAATAGCTATTTTTAACAAAGCCTGCAGTCCCTATCATGTTCTATTCTGAATGATAGAATATTTAGAAAATAATCAATTCTCTTCTTGTGACTTCTAGACGGGACCAAAACTTTATTTCTGCTTTTATCGCTTTTGTACCATCACTGCTCTATTTCTGGACGCCACGAAATAATGGTCATTAGCCGCATCCTTCCGAATGCAACGACAGTAAGCTAGCTCCAGGTTATTCAGTAACAACGGTGACATTATCAGCATTAGCACTGGATTACTACACGTATGCTTTTTTTAGGCCAAATAGGAACTGGAATACAAAAAGCGGCATCTGGAGTCTGGAATTCTGCAGGTATATCTCATTAGGGTCCACTTTTCCACTTTTTTTCGATCCCTGCGGAAAAGCCCACACATCTCAAAATTTTAAATTTTCCACCATCTGAAAAAAGAATTACCTCACTTTTTTCACTTTTTTAACACCTAGAAAAAAATTTTTTTTGCACTTTCACTCTTTGAAAAAAAATTTCTCCCAGAAATTTCTCCCTGCTTTCCACGTTTTCACGTTTCATGGGAAAAAAAAATTCCTTTCTCTTTCTCACATTTCTGTTCTCATGGGAAAAATTTCCTCCTGCGCTTTGAACTAAAGTTTTTGTTTGGCTTCAAAAAAAGATGGTTTTTCCTCCTGAAAATCTCAGAAACAAATTTGTAGGTGATGCAGTTAGTGCAGTTGGACAAGGAGTTGGGGAGGCCGCAACGGGCGTTTGGCACGCTGGGGGTACCAATTTTCATTTTTGCCGTTTGACAGCATTTTTCACACATTGGCGTATCCAGCCCGAAATTGAGAGCATGCAACCTAAATTTACTTTTTCACCAGAGGCTGAGGTACGCTGCTCATTTTTATGCTCATTTTTACCAAATTATTCTTTTTTTGTCTCACAAAGCTCCGACCCGTGCACCATGGTAGAGGGTTCATCTTAGTTCTGGTACTCTTTTCCAGTCAACTTAATGGTACTTCGGCTTAGCAACACTGAACTCATTTTTTCCAAAACTTTGAAGCGATTCGGTTCTTCGAACTAATTTTAACTCACCTCTCTGGATCTCTACCTCATACACCCAGGCATGACTCCCATCCAATCCAATTTGTATTGATTTTCCACAGCGCCCAATATGAATTTCCTCTCTTCTGGATACGCCAGCGTTTTTTTTTTTTTTGTTAACAGACTAATTATCTGCTTGAATTTTTTTACTACCGCTAATAATAAGAGTGTAACGGGCCACTCTGCCACCTAGCCCCATTCCGATTTCATTCCACCCTTCGTCATCTACAGACTTCCCGTGCGAAATGCAGCACTCATCTTCCTAAGAAATTTTTTCGCAGGTTCTGGTGTGAGGCGGCTTTGGGGACCAATGTTCTATCTATTTTGCCTATTTTATTTCCAGCTCCACATGTCGCATTTTTTTAGGCTACAACAACTAAAATTTTTTGTAGAGAAATCGTAGGATATCAATAAATCTGCGAAAAAGCCTTGGAAAGTAATTAAAAAACCCTTGTTTTCTAGCTTGCGTCTTTCATTATTCTTTTTTTGAGTTTTTTACCGTTATAACTTATTTAATTATGGTCTATTGTCCTTTAACCTATGACTGGCTAACTGTTTGACACTTGCAGTGTTTTTGGATGCTAAGAACATAGTGCTGTAGTGAAAACTGAGTAAATTGTTGTAGGCAGAGCTGTCGATGCAGTCGGAAGCGGTGTGGTTGATGTTGCTGTAGGAATTAAAAATGTGGCCGGTAGGTTCTAGGATTCATTCTACAAAATACAACAGTATCTTTTCTGGATAAAAGCTGCATAAATTGCGAATTTCTGCATTTTAAAAAGCTGCAGGTTCTAAATCTTCAAATGAACTTCATTTTAGAATTTTAACCAAAATGGTGAAAATCCTGTCCATCATGTCTCCTGACCGAATGTCACTTTTATCTTAATATCTTTTACTTTGTCAGTTTCCTCATGCTGCACCGTACAGCATGCATCTTTCATTTTAGCCTCTTGCGTGCAGCTGTACTTTCTTTACTGCATTATCAGTAGCTGTTCAGTCTGACTCTAGTTCTTATCACCCAAGCTTAACCAAAAAAAACAATCTAAGGAAAGCATTAATTTCTTTTTGATTTATCAATGGGGAGCGAAAACAGACCAGACAAGTCGATACACAACCAGGCATAAATCCTGGGAGCACAATGTTCAGTGCCCCCAGGATTTATGCCTGGTTGTGTATCGACTTGTCTGGTCTGTTTTCGCTCCCCATTGATAAATCAAAAAGAAATTAATGCTTTCCTTAGATTGTATACTAAATTTAAAATTGGGAGTATTAAATTTAGTGCTTTTCCTCAGCCCCTCTCTTGTCTTAACTTGATTCAAATTCAAACATCTAATTCCAACAGAAGTTTCAAAAATTCAAGTATCGCATCAAAAATCTGATTCTCACGCAAAAAAAAACGAACGCTTACGGAAGCTATTCCAGTAAAAGAACAAAAGTAAATTGTCAGGACAGTTAGGGTTCCCGGCAGTACCAAGACTTTCCAGACAGTTAATGAGAGTATCGGATGTTACTGGATTTTCAGGATCAGCAGTAGATGCTGTTGGTGATGCTGCATTTGCAGTTGGCACCGGTGTCGGCGGTGCCGCAATCGCCGCTAAGGATGTAGCTGGTCAGCTTTTCTGCCCTCGAGGCTTTTTATGCGTTTTTTGCAGCAGTGCAATGCGAAAAACGCGTATCGACGAGAGGTTGTCTGTGTGTGTATGTGTGTGTGTCTGTGTGTCCGTGTGTGCGTCTGTCACGGTTTTTCATCTCAAGACCTACAAAATCTACGGAGCTGAAATTTTGGGAACTTAATCTACATGCACGTACGGGCCCCAATTCCCAAAATTGGCGCCATACCCCGCGTGGTACCCGCGTACGGG